CCTTACCGGTCATCTTTAAAAAAAAAAAAAACAAAAGATAAAGAAAGCAAATACTCCAATAATTTATAATGTCACCAGATAACTACAGAAAAACTGCTTAGTAGGTGGAAGACAGGAGCTGGAACCACCACCTGTTTCTATCCTGTTCCCCAGGCAGGGCTGCTGTGCTACAGTCCCTTACAGAGCTGTCTTCCCAAAGGCTCACCAAAGACCCTAATTTAGCAGCAGCATCTGTGAAACTGAATTGAGTCACAGTTTAATCCAGTGAGTCAGGGAGACTAAGCCAAACATAGCTCCCAGCCATGGGTGGGGGGGATAGGATGAGACTTTTCACCATCTGAGGTGCTTTAACAAAGTCGTCTTTAATTCTAACTACAATCCTGTGAGCTAGGTATTAGTTCCATTTTACAGATGAGGAAACCAAGGCTTAGAGGGAACGTCACTTGCCCCGGTTCCCTCACTTTCCAGTTATGTAATCACGCCAAGTCAGAAAGACTCAAGACTTGACAAGACTTTCTAGGCCTTCTGGTCAGGTCAGTGGTTCCCTTTTGTTCTTATCCCCCCAGCACATTTACTACAAAACCATGAATTCCACACAGGTATAAAGGACCCCGTGCAATCTGCAATTTTATGAAACCAGCAGTAACGCCATCCTTTTCTCACCGACTCAAAAAGGTAGAAAATTGGAAAGGATCCTCATTAGATGGCTAATGCTGACCTGCACCATCAACAGAGAAAGGTAGAGAATTCACAATTTTTGAAGTTTTATTAATTACTTTTGGCTGCTTTACTACCGGGATCCTAGTAGTAAATCCCTCTGAGAATGGGAGATTTTTCCATGATAGGTATGACTGCTAACTGAATGTCCAGCCTCTGGTTGGGCACTTCCATGGATGGGGAGGAACTCATTGCAACACTGCAAGACAACTTGTTCCACAGCTGTCACTTCTGAAAAATCCTTCCCGATCAGTCTTAAGTCCTATAGACTCTACCTTGACAACATTTCACTAATCCATCTTTCACTCCATCCTCTCTAGTTACTCCTTAGTCCAGTCTCCTGGTTCTCCCACGTGGACTGTTGTAGCTGCTGCCAGACTACTCCTGTTTCCCATTTCTCACCCCTTCATCCCAGGTTCCAAGTTGTCCTTCTTGTCATGTTTGTATTGACACCAGAATACTTTCTAAGGTGAAAACCTGATCATGTCGTCTCTGCTTAAAATTCTTGGGTGGTCTCCCATTCGCTAGAGGAAGTAGATCTTGTAGGACTCTTTGCCATCTGGTCCTCACTTGTGCTTCCATCTTTGTTTCTGTCCGAGACCCCCCATGAACCATAAATTTCAATACTTTTAGTGGATTTATAAGGTCTGAAAATGCAATTGTTTCATGATGGTCTTTTCTTACTTTCTTTTCTCTGGAATGTCCTGCCCCACCTCATCTGCCTGGCAAATGCATAGGAAAGACAAGACAGAACTAGTGCAAGCTGCTTGGATGGTTATCACACACTTGCAATGTGACCTTTGGCAAGTAACGTTTACTATCTCTGCCTCAGTTTCATCAGTCTATAAAATGGGGTAAGCAAAATGACATACTTTGTAAAGTCAGTAGGTAGTTTAAGTGAGATAATCCCAGTAGAAGCATTTAGCACAGTCACTGGCATTTAAATGCTCCGGAGTCTAACTAGGTAGGGTAGTGTTAGCCCCTTGTAAGTGCTCTGTTCATGCAACCTTACCTGACTCCTTCCCCCCAGTTACCATTAGCCAATTCCTTTTTTGGGCAGTGAGAACTGGACACAGTGCTTCTTTCTTTCACAGCACTCCCCACATTTATTGCACTATTTATAGGCTAACTTATTGAGGGAAGGGGCCAAGCCTCTCGAGCATCTAGCACCGGCCTTGCATGTCTAAAGGAAGTTTAATGCTCACTGAAATTGAAAAGAAACAGAGTAGCCAAAAACTGGCCTTTTGTCTATTACCTACTCATGGTCATAGGTCTGTCTGGCTGGCATGAGAAAGTGTCTTTAATTTGACAATCTGATTTCCCAAAGCAGTGTCCTGTCTTCCTTGATTCTGTCTCAGCTGAGCATTCTCAGTTCCTTCAAGCTTCTCTCTGTTGACACAGTTTAGGTCCTCTACATCTCGGTTTTCCTCTGGCAGTAGGCCCTCTCAGGGAGCCTCTTGCTGAGCTCTAGAAGGGAATACAGCAACTAGGAGCGGTGGCAGGCACAGTGATCCTATCTTTTAGAGATACTTGCTTGGATCTTAAATTTAGATTCTGAACTGTCATCCTTCCCAGGTGTTTCCTATTATCTAAAAATATGACCAGCGTTCCTTGCTTATCTATTCCTTTTGATAAATGGCTTCAAATTTTTTTGGAATGGGTATGGCATAAAAAAACCTCATTCATCATTCATATCAAAGGACGGGCTAAGGACAAAGCCCTGGGACATATCGTTAGAAGCCATACTACAAGGGGTTAATTGATGGTGGTTGGTGGTTAGTTACCAATTTTTTTTTAAAAGATGACTGGTGAGGGGATCTTAACCCTTGACTTGGTGGTGTCAGCACCACACTCACCCACTGAGTAAAACCAGCCATCCCTATATAGGATCCGAACACTTGGCCTTGGTGTTATCAGCATCTCACTCTCCCGAGTGAGCCACAGGCCGGCCCGTTAGTTACCAATTTCTATCTTCCTAATGCTTTTTTGTTTTTTGGGTGGCTGGGGAATCTTACCCCTTAACCTTGGTGTTTATCTCCCTAATGCTTTGACTCTATACTAGGTCCACATTATCTAGTTAACAAAATTGAAAAAGACTATAAGGAGTTTGGCATCACTTGCTCTTAAGCTCATAATGAACACGTATTAAACTCTTCTGGTTATTTTTCATCATTCTTATTTATCTGCTTTTGAGTCATTTGTTGTAGGTTCAAACTTCCTAATCAATGTTATTTACAGGTCTGACTTGTGATATTAGTTTCCTTTCTTGGACTTTTATCTGCTTTTCAGTCTTCCAGTGTTTCTTTAATTTTCTCTTCAGTTCTCTCCACTAAGAGCTCAACAAACTCCTGAGAAACCCCTTGGTGTCCTGCTGCTGTTCGCCAGTCAGGAGACCTGAAATATCTAAGAGCAGCTAAATGATTGCTTATTATGACCTCACTTATTTTATCTTGAATGTCAGCTCCTCCTAACCAGTTAGTACTGCCCTGTCCAGACTGAAGCTAGTTCTCTCTGGCCAAAAAGGAGACAAAACAGGAGCTAGAGATCAACTTTCTGTCAATACCACTGGCTTTCAACAGATTTCTTCTTCCTGATGACACTAGACAGTTTCTCCAAATTCTTTTCCTCAATAATAGAAAATAAGTAACATTCACACTGTGTACCGATTTGTAGTGGATTAAACTATGTCCCTCCAAAACTCACTGGAACTTGAATTGTGTCCTCCAAGTGTTATGTATTAGAAACTTAGCCCCCACTGTGACTGTTAAGAGGGTGGGAAATACTATTATGGTAATTGAAAGGTGGAGCCTTGAAGAGGTGACTGGATTGTAGGACCCTGCAGCAGTGAATGGGTTAAAAATGGTGGTCGGGGCGTGGTTCTGAGGCTTTAAAAGAATAGGAGGGTCTGTCTTGCTCTCTCTGCTTCCCCATCTTGCAATGTGAGACTCCTGGGTCACTGTCGCCACCACCAGATGGACTTTGGACTTCCCACCCTCAGAAACTGTAAGCGATAAATTTCGTTTTTCTTTATAAATTACTCAGTTCCAAGTATTCTGTTATAGCAACACAAAACGGACTAATACACTTTTATAAAGGTTAAATGAGATAATGTGCATGAAAATACTATGGAAACACAAGGAAGTACCTGCACACAAAGGGGTCCAGACCCTCTGCTCTCAACCACAGCTGCAAGTCTGCTGGCCTGGGGTGACCCCAAATGATACTAGGGCCCTTCCTCAGGACTCAAGTTCTCCTTCAGGCAGGAGGCCTAGTCTTCCCCAAATCTGCATGCGGGCAGGAAGAGAGGACCCCTGCCAGGGGACTTAGGACCACTTTTGGCACTAGATATTGACTATTTTTTCTAATCAGCAGGCCCAGAAGGGGCCCACATCATTCTCAGTCTACGTGTGGGAGCCTCAAGCCTTCCCAAACTCAGCAGTTCAATTCTGCTGGCATGAGATGATTCTTGCATGCCAAATTCAGAGGCTGACTTGGCCTTGTAGAACAATCTGCTGCCTTCAGTTCCAAACCCAAATGGCACTGCCTTGAGATCCACTATGGAGCAAGTCTCCAAGGATCAGACCAAAGTTTCCTGAGTACCACTTGGCCAGACCTGCCATCATTTCCCCAATATCAATGACTCCTCCAACTCAAAGAGGAAAAGCGACAGGAGCAGAAGCCAGTATTAGCTTCACAACCTGGCTAGCAGAGGACAACTGAGCACATGCCCTTAGGCTTTTCTAAGATAGTAACTAACTGAAAGACCTCCCAACTCAGTCATGGAGGTTGAACACTAGGGACATCTAGTGGCATATAGTCATTACCAGCTACAATATCCTTAGGTTTCCATAGAGTACTATAGAGTAAATACCCCACAGTGGGGCCCTTCCCTTTGGAGAATCAGATTCACTTTATATTGTATTTCCTATTTGTGAGAAGATCAACCTAAAAAAATTCTGTGGCTATTAAAAATGGGGCTCCAGATATAGGAGCTATCAAAAAGAGGGAACACTGGGCTTTACCTTCTTTTTTGACTTTTCATCCTCATTTACTCTTTGAACCCACAACAAACTAAATTTCCCAATTAAGGGATCTCCCTTAAAAATACCTGATTGAACAATGCCAGTTCTCTGAGAATCATTTTGAGCTAGGTTTGCCAAAACACACTAAAATGTTTAAATAGGCTCTAGTTAATCTGCCCCCCCATTGCCCCTTTTTACTTTCCTTCTAAAGGGACTAGAAGGCAAAGAGGGGCTAAGACACCTTATAACATGTCAACTAAATTGACTTGTAAAGATTATTTTACTGTCCTAGAAAAATACATGTTGCGAATTTGGGGGCTACAACTTAACCAGTTTAAGAGGATTCTTGAGGGAGAGGGGATAACCTTTGAATATCAGACTCTGTAATGTGTGGGAGAGGCATACTAAATAAAGTTGGGTCAGGTGGATTTTTAAAAAATCCTTTTTTTCCATTTTGTTTTCTAAAAAAGGAAAAACAAATTGCCATCTGTCTGGCTTATTCTGTGTGTGCATGTATATATAGGAAAAGCTTGGGGGGAGGGGTTGTGTCATGCAATGAGGCAAAACAAGATGACTTCCTTCGAGAGAGGAGCCTTAGTGTTGTAAGAGGGAAGCAGAGTGGAGAGTTCACTGGAAAGAGCTTAGAATGTAGCTGCTCCTGCTTGTTCCTCCTAAGAACCCAGAGCATCAGAGGTCAAGGTCAGAAAGCATAATGATCTCTCAAGAGGATTTCTATCTGAACAAATCTGTTGTCCTATAAAAGTAGACAAGTCTGTTTTAGAATATAAATGGTCATGACTTCCTGTGCTCTTGAGGTGGGGCAAAATAATCCATGAATACATAATTCTTCTGGGCAACAATGTTTCTGGACTGGCCAGCAGAGGACTCTAGGAAGAGAGGTAGGGGCAGAGTTGGGGAGAAAAAAGGTTCTAGAGATGGGATGTCTTCAGGGGGACTTTGAGAAATATCCTTTGTTCCAGCATTCCTAAGTGATGGCACTGGTGAGCTTGGTCTGAGTTGTTGTCAGTGTCACTCTGCAGAGGCCAAGGGCCAGGAAGCCACTCTAGGTTGAGAAGAAAGTGCATCTCAAAGCCATGAGGGCTGCAAAATGGTTTGTGGCTGGACCAGGAGAAGGAGCAAATGTGGAAAGGTTCCCCCTTTCAGATGCCAATGGTCTGTAGAACCCGCCTCTCGTTGTCATTAAGGTGGCCTGAGAACATTATGTAGCAGGGCTGCTGAGCAAACTGGCAGAGGAAGTCTGTGAGATATGCCTGGAGGGAAAAATAAGACTGGCATTACTGAGGGTTCCCAGGGTCGCCCATCTGCAGATGGGTGAACCACCATCAAATGGTACAGGGAATGCTGGCTTTTATATAAATGCCAGCTCCCTGAGGAATGGTTTTCTACATTCTTGTATCTAGTTTAGGTATAATCCAGGGACAAAATTCCATAGGGAAACAAAATTTTTCCAAGGCCATATCTCATATTTTACCCCGAGGACCTTCACCATAGCCTAAAGAAGCTGGATTACAACACTGGTGTAGTCAAGTCCCAACCCACCCAAAGCCCTTGACTACTCAGCAAGATAGGAGCTCTTGCCCTTGAGGCTCCCATGATGAACCATGGCTGGATTTGAACCCGTATTCCTGTTTCCATGGCTTGGGCCACTGTCATGTGCAAGACACCTTCTCTGGGCACTCTCACCTGCAGATCAATTTGATAGAGAGGATCCTTCAGGGCATCGGGGTCATCTTCCTCGTCGTCCTCGTAGTAATCCTCCTCTGTCAGACACAGCCGACACAGGGCAGTCAGGCAGGGGCCTGTGATCACGCCCTGGGTGCTGACACACCACCACACAGCTGAGGCAGAAGGGACAAGAGCCCAAGAAACATCCCTTATGGGCCCACCTCTCCCCTTTCTTGGGTATCCTATTCTTGGCACCAGCATGCATAGAAAAGGTATTACCATGGCATCCTCTTCTCAAGCGGCTTACCATATTTACTTGTAGCAAGAATGTCAGACAAAAGTTGGCCAGCTAAACCATCCTCCTCCTCCTCCTCCTCCTCTTCCTGGTCCTCCCACATATCATTGGAATCATCTACTTGGAGATGAAAAGCAGCTAGAGCATATTCATGCATTTTCCCTCCCGAAATCTAAACAGTCCAGAAAAGAAGGACTCCGAGGGTTTCTGCAATGTGGCCTCTAGTCCCTAGTGGAAGAGAAACAAGGATGGCCAAACCCTCCCAGTATGTTTGAATGAAGAACCCAGCGTATTCTGGTGGAGAGATAAAAGGTTGAGGGAATCTTAAGAACCAAACCACGGAAAGGCTAAGGTAGCTTGCCTCCTAGATGCCTTCCACCCCAACCTTTGTAAGATTTCCTAAGGCAGACCTGAAAAGTAGCTCTTTACATGCCTAGCACTCACGACAGTGCCAGCAACAAAGTATCCATTCAATATATATACATATTTTTAAAAAGTCACTCAACAAACCAAATTAATAATTTGACCATCTATAACTCCATCTGCCAGGTTAAAAAGTCTCCTGGGAGTAAGGGCTGGTGTACCTTGACTCCATTCTGCAGGAGTGGCTTGGCGAGCGGCATTGGCCTCCATGACATTGGAGAGCTCATTGATGATCAGCTTTAGGATCTTGACCAGCAAAGGAATGTTTGTCCAGCGCTCTGGGTCTGGGAAGGAAGGAAAAGGCTTGGTTTTGTAACAGTTCAGAAGCTGGGAGAGACAAGAGTCCACGGATTAAAGGAGATGGGTTCTAGTCAGTAATAAAGCTCTGAAACCAACAGAGCATAGTATTCTAGTCCCTCTGACCTGCAGTTTGAGAGATGGCATAGGTGATTATAAACCTAGTTGAAGACAGTAGCTCTGTACTCACTACCTATAAATCAGTAGAGACACAGGCTGAAGGCAACCCAATAACAAAGTCGTGCTGAATACATGTGTCAAAGCCCCACAATGAAGCTGGAAGCTGGGGATCCTTAGTACCTGAGAATATTTTTGTCAACTTTCAACAACAGGAAGGCACTGATCCAGTGTTTACCTACTGTTTCCTCCTGCCTCTTTATCAAACCCATCACTAACAACTATGTTTTAAAAACATAGATCACAGTATATACCTGCCCTCTAGACCAGTATCCTTAGCCCCCATACGGAGGGGACTGGAGGGATGGCAGCAGCACTCACTTTTGGCTGACTTAGAGCGGGTGCGGATGCCCTCGTCCATGCTGTAGATCTCTTCTCCTTTCACGCGGATATCCTGTAGCCGTTTGTCATCTGCGTTGATACCATGCTGGAGCAGTTTACACAGTGCCACAGAGCTGGCAAGGAAGAGCCAAAAATGGTCAATTAGCCACCCATCTGGAGTCCACTCCAAGTAGATAAGCAATTATGTCCTGAGACCCTCTCTCTGATGGTGAAAATTCTGTTCACGACTAATTAGGAGGTAAGAAAGTTCAGCTGAAAACAGGATTTAGGGTTGATGAGATGGTCTAATGAGATCAGTTCTTCTCGAACAAAGCTAGAGTGAGCGTCACAATGGCTGTCCACACCGTAAAATGCAATAGGGTGATAAGAACTGATGGGACTAAAGTCCAGGATGGAAAGTTAGAAAGCCAGGGTTGGAAGGCTTGGGTTTATAATGGAGAATAAACCACTGGCAGTACTTAGCTGGGTGAAGTCTGTGGAAGAGGAGCATCTCTAGACAGCAGAGATGAGAAATATTTGGTCTGCCTGTGTTTATTGTCTTTTAGAGATTCCAAGATGGCAGCTATTCAAGTATACGCATTAGCAATAGAGAAAGATAGGGAAAAGGGAATACAAGGGACAGTTTGATATGTCAAACAAAAATCAACAGAGCAAATCAGGGAAAGAAGAAATGTGAATAGGGGTAGAATGCCCAGAGAAGAAAGATGGGGCCCTACCTGACTTTGCCTTCATATTGGCCATAGAACAGATGCTGTCGGCTTGTCCACTCAGCCATCACAAACTCCAGGGCAGGTTTGCCAGTGGGTCCTGGGAGGCTACACAGAAACTCCAGGAGAGGTTCCAGCTGGGTGTGCACCAGATGAGCGAACACCATGATCAGAGACTAGGAGATAAGGAGGACATCTGCTTCAGGGAACTCAATCTCAGAGACATAGGAGATGAGAGGGAGTGGGCCAGTCAATCAAGACACAGAGTCTATGTACTGAGAGTACCATACACAGGACAAGAAAACACGGAGATTTCCTTGCTCATGTTTCTCGGGCCAGAACAAATCCAATTTTACTTAACTGTCTATAGGGATAGTAAGAAAGAGGGTAAAACAACTCAGGACCAACACACTAATTCCCATCTCTGTCACCCCAGGGATGGGAAAGCCCAGCTCCCTACTGTCCTCTTACCTGCATGACACTGAGAGTCTCTGCCTGCTGCATCTTACTGAGGATGGCACGAAGAATCTGGTCCAGATTCTCTCCCAGCTCCCGCCCTGCCTTAGAGATGAGGGTGGAGACAAGGCGGCCCACAAAGGCCGCAGTGAACTCGGAGGTGCGAGGGTCCAGGAGCTGGCTCACCACTTGCATCACATACCACAGCCCATTGTGGCCCTGCTCGTCATGCCACTGGGCTACCTGCTCCAGCGTCACTGACACATAGGCCCGCAAGCACTCTCCACCATTCTGGGGAGACAGAGGTGGCAAGCAAGATTAGCAACTGGGAGATAGATGCCAGGAGGCCTTCAAGAGGCATATGCCTCATAAGAGCAGTCAGCCTACAGGGTTTGCTCATACCACTGCAGTCCGGAATTTACTGTTACAGATACAGACAGGCATCACACAATGCCCCCTTTGCCCAGTCGGTTATCTCAAAAATGAATATTTCTGATCACAAGGAACGGTGGCCAATCAAACTGAGTTTTAGCCATAAAGATCTAGCTATAGTACTGGAAAAATATGTCTAAGATGTAGCAATAATTGGGTGTACTACAGTTCTTTATGGGAATAAAGACAGACCTTACACCTGTCTAGAGATTTACAAGCTGATCAACATCCACTGACAAGCTCCTACAACCTTTACAATCAATTGCAGTAGTAAAGACCTGAAAAAGTAACCAACTTACCCAAGAAACAGAAAGAGGAAACATATGCAGGCATCTCTCCCCTCTCCAGACGCCTATCACTTTGCTGACTTTATTAATAGAAGAAATATTCAGAAAGACTTTCTTACGGCCCCAAGTCTAGATGTCTGTAATCTCTTCCAAGTAGTAATACCCAGATACAGATGGGCAGGATGCCTGCTAGCCACATTCTTTAAGAATGCTTGGCTTTTGCAGCCTGAACCCTTACTGGGTCCTCTGGATAAATACAAAATTGAGAAACATATTTCAAAAGCATGAAACCACAAGCCCATTACTGGGGAGCTATCGTCCCTCTTCTAGTGTCCATGTCTCAGATACCTGCATGGTGGCGTTGTCATCTGTGTGAAGGGTGCATTGTGCCACTGCAGGGAAAGCTTGGCAGATGAGAAGCTGGGAAAGTGGAGGCTTTGTATTCCTTACTACTGTGGTCAAGATATCAATAGCTGTCTGAAGGAAAGAAGAAGGAAAGGAGTCAGAATTGCTTCTGGGTGGGCGTGCCCAACAACCACGATCTTTACTGGGTGGATACAACATAGCAACCCGGAGGAAGCTAATTAATAAAAGGCAAGTTTGGGGGATGGGGAATAATTAAATAGTAGATAGTGCTCTAAGTCTCCTCAACATAACTTGTTACTTGATTAGCTATGGGGATGGGTGGTGTATGGCAATGGCTCAGATAGTCAGATGACATACTTAGTGGTGCTGTGTAATGGGGGCATTCTGTTCAGTTCACTGAGGGTACCTCTGGAACAAGAAGAGCCATTTTCTTTTTCTTTCTTTTCTTTTTTTTTTTTTTTTAAAGATGACCGGTAAGGGGATCTTAACCCTTGACGTGGTGTTTGTCAGCACCACGCTCACCCAGTGAGCAAACCGGCCATCCGTATATGGGATCCGAACCCGTGGCCTTGGTGTTATCAGCACCGCACTCTCCCGAGTGAGCCACGGGCCGGCCCGAGCCATTTTCTTAAGCCTCTGAGAAGCACCCATTGTCCTTTTGGGCAGAGTAGCCCAGTAAAATCACCCCATGAGGCTCCAGTGATATCAGTTTCCTGTCAGCTAGGTAGGATCTGTGGGTGGATGGTACTTGCAGAGCTCTCCTCTCCCTCTCTCCCTCCCTCTCACACACACACACACACAAAACATGCTCCCCGCCTTGTAGCCACTCACCGCACAGAGCCCTGCAGGGATCTTGTCGGCTGGGGCCTGCATTATGCTGACCAGAGTGGGAATCAGCCTCATCTGCATTGGGCCCTGACAGGCTTCGATCTGGGACAACTCCTTGAAGATGTCCTGAGCCAGCGAGGCGACGACAGGATCTGAAGTGGATAAGGCAACATGGAATCCCCCTGCCTGATGGTCTGCATCTACTTCTGGCTTAATGATGTCTGTTCTCTGTCCCTAACCTAAGTTAACAACTTCTGCACTGATTATATATCACATGCCTGGGAACTAGTGGGGCCATATGAATAACCTGAAAGAACAGGATAGATGCTAAATCTCCATGAGACACAGTATATATGTTTTCATTAAGGCAGGGAATAGTCATTAATAGCTACTCCTAAAACAAAATTTGGCTTTTATTCTGGAGGCAAATCTTTAAAGTCGTTATTTTTGTGAAACCTAGATTGATTATAAAACCAAATGCTTAAAAAAAAAGCTCCATTGATACTTGGTTAAGAAGACATGAAGATTTCAAAAACTGCCAAAACATTGGCTTTCCCCCAGGTTCTCATAGGTCAAAGATACATATATCCTAGGGAGAAGCTATGATAGACATGAAGAACTCCAAAAGCCATTTCTGGGGCAAAAAGAGAGCCTTGTGGGGCTGCCCAGTTAGCAGAGTTTGTTAGAGTGCCACCTTGTAACAACAAAGTTAAGGGTTCGGGGGCTGAGCCCGTGGCACACTCGAGAGAGTGCTGTGCTGGGAGTGCAGTAGCGCTCCCGCCGCGGGTTCGGATCCTATATGGGGACGACCGGTGCGCTCACAGCGCTCACTGGCTGAGCGCAGTGCAGCCGGTCTCAAAAAGAACAAACAAAAAAAAAAAAAAAAAAAAAAAAAAAAAAAAAGCTTTATGAAGAAATAGAACTTTAGCCTGACCTACTTTACCTATATAATAAAAATGCCCTCCCCTACTTAGCATGCCAGTGTGCACTAAAGTGTATGTTAAAAGACCACTGCGGTATTGTTTGTAATAGAAAAAAATTGGAAACAACTTAGATTTCCATTAACAGAGTGGATAAATAAATTATGATGTAGCCATTTTATGGAATATTATGCGATAGTTTAAAGAATGAGATACATCCAAGAATGCAATGTGGGAAGCTCTGCAGGACACATTTTAATGTGAAAAAGCAAATCAAATACCAAGTTTAAATGTATGATATTATATAAACAATCCCTGCCCCTATATATCTTTCTGAGCTTCAATACTGGGGTTCCGTCTTTAAAAACAAATATCCCTAATACTTTTTCTAATAATAAAGTATTAATAAATACATTCACTACAGAAAAACTTGAAATGCAGAAAAGCATTAAAGGAAAGAAAACACCTGTAATTAACCACCACCTAGAGAAAACCACCCTTAAGATTTTGATGTATTTTCTTTTGCTATTTTTTTCTACACACATATCAATATACACATCCTTTTCTAAAACAAAACCAAAACTTAAAATCATATTCTATGGACTTTTCGCGGAAAAGTGTCTTTTCACTTATAACGTAAGCACTTTCCCATGGTCTTAAATATTCCATTGAAGCTTGATTTTTAATGGCTCCATAGCATTTCATTTAATGGATATAATTAATCACCTTTTATTTCCAATTTTTTACTACTATAAAAAATATCTGATGGTTCATTCACTATACTGGCCAGCAAGCAAAACCAAACCAAACCAAACCAAACCAAAAAAACCCCCCAAAACAAGCCATCTGATGAAGACTTTTGTTTATAAACCTTCAGCACATTTCTTTCTTCAATATCTCCTTTTCTAAGTTATAGTTCTAGGCTTCTTCTTATAGGAAGCTTTTCATTTAAGTTGCTTACTTTTCTACTCGACTGTCAAAATTCTTAATTATGCCTCTTGCTTGTTAGACTTTTTTTCTTTTTTTTTTTTAAAAGATGACCGGTAAGGGGATCTTAACCGTTCACCTTGGTGTTGTCAGCACCATGCTCTCCCAAGTGAGCCAAGAGCCGGCCCTTGTTAGACTTTTATTCACTGTCTTTTTTTTCCCTAGTCCTTATTAGAGAGTAAGCATTACAGAAATAGGTATTCTACTTTTTAATGCTGCTATATCTACAGCACAACTATTCTTTGCTAACTGAAAGCCAAATTCTTTGCTTATGATGCTTAAGACCATCAGACCTAGGGAAACTTTCACTTAACTTCACCAGCCATCACTTTTTCTTTGGTGCTCCTCATAACACATTCTCCCAGGTGGCATACCATTGCTGTACTTTAGGAAAATGGCGATGGTGAAGGGGCAGATTTTGCTTTCCATGCTTGCTGTGAATTCTGGGTCTACTGTACAAACTATGCACAGGGTCTCCATCACCAAGTTGAGGACCTCTGAGCTGAACTGGGCTGCTAGGTGAATTAAGCCATCAAGAATGCTGGGGAGGAAGGGCTGAAGCACGTGGGTACTCTCTGAGACTTTCAGTTGGTCACAATAACTAGAGAGAGAGAGATATGCAAGAGTTACTCACAATAGATTCTTCAATTCCTGGTTTTTCCAATTTCATATGCTATAGCATTTATATGTGTAGTTTCTATAAAGCTACTTCTAGAGTTAGATATGTTTTTACATCTTTCTGTGGCATATTTATATAAATATCATCACTACCATTTCTACATTCTCAAATTTATTTCTGCTTAGATCTTTGATATTTCCTCTAAAATTTCATCCCTTTCCCCCTCTGTTTTGAAGCAAATCCCTGCCATAGCATTATATCCAAATTGTTAAGATATTAAGTTAAATGCTTTATAACTCCACAGACTACTACTTTAATTACTAAGATTTTGATGTATATTCCCATTATTTTCCAGATAGTTAGTGTTTTTAACATTTTTTTCAACACAACTGCTACTTAATAGGAGACTCCATTTTAACTTCCATGTTATAAAATTTAGGAAGCTACTCATTATAATTCAGGCAAGAAAAGTGGAGAATACAATCTAAGGTAGTAGCAGTGGAAGAAAAGGAGAAAAACATGATTTTTGCATCGTAAAATGAGATCAATTTATATAAACATTCCATGCATACTTACAAAACTGGTATACTATCTGTAGGGTATAAAGTTCTCTATACATAGTTCTACTGTATCAACCTCTTATTCAATCAACAAATATTCACTGATTGCTGCTTACCATATTCAATGGGATATAATTACTAAAAATACATTGTCTAAGTCTTTTGTTTATTTTTAGGATGGTGGTAAGTTAAAAAGCAATAAAAAGACTGTTTCTATATGTTAAAAGAACCTAATACTACAAGACTCTCAGCAGGTACTCAATAAATGGTTTTTCTTATTATTTTTTTTAATTGAAAAGAGGACCAGTAAGGGGATCTTAACCCTTGACTTGGTGTTGTCAGCACCACGCTCACCCAGTGAGCTAAGCGGCCATCCCTATATAGGGATCTGAACTTGTGTCCTTGGTGTTATCAACACCACACTCTCCCGAGTGAGCCACGGGCCGGCCCGGTTTTTCTTAACTTTTTAAAAGTATCTTGTAACCATATTATTTACTTCAGCTGTCAAACGTCCACAAAGACCAGTGAGCTTTGATCCCAGATTTGTCTACAGACTCTTTGATTTTTGGTCCATAATGTCTTGATTTCAATACCATCTTGCTCTGACCTAACTTTTCCTGAAGAGCTAATTTGGCAACTGGACTTGGTTAGCTCTCAACTCCTTAAACTAGGTTTTAGACCCATCTCTCTACCAATACTCAGCTTTGTTTATTCACCCCTCACCCTTCCATTCTAAGGGTTTAAGTTACTTTGCTCTTCCAATGAAATTGAAACTGTACAATCTGAAAATCACAGAGAACACATCATCTGGCTAGATCATATTAGATTTTGTATGCCAAGAGAGTGTGGACTTTATTGTGGAAACCAGTGTTTCTCAAACATTGTTTTTACAAATTATTCCTAATACCTAATTTCCTCCTTACCCTACCCCAAAGTCTTCAAGGAAAACTGACACCCTGGGAAGATGTTATATATTTATCCTGTAGCTTCATGTACCACCTGGCATAATATGACTTTCTCCTGAGGTGTCTGTATCTGAGAATTTGAAATGCATATCTGGCAGCTATGAAGGTTTTAACTATAGGAGCAACATTACCAGTTTTCTGTTTTAGAAAGATTAACTTGACAGCTCAAATAATATAGATTGCAGTAGTGAGAGTGAAGATAGAGAGATCAATTAGGAAACTGCTGCAGTGATTCAGGCAAGAGAAGTTGAGAATACAATCTAGATTAGTAGCAGTGGAAGAGAGGGAGGAAGAGATGAGAAGCCAAAGAACCAAGATCTAAAAGGCAAAGATCTGGGATCTCTACCTTTTTCAAAACAGGGAATACAAGATCTCTATCTTTAAGTCAAGTTCTAAAGGTACAAGATACTTTTTTTTCCATTAAAACATTTTTTTATTAAATCTTCATTCTTTGAATGTGGTTCATTTGATCAAGAATACATATGGGAATATCCAGGGATATCCCTGGCAAACAAAACAGAGTCATGCAACTCAGTTCTTAAAGCAAGGAGGCAATATCAGGTCAGATTAAAGATTTATCTGGGCTACCCTCCAAACTAAAATTGACAAGCAAAGATATAACAATAAAATATAAAACCACCATAAGTGAACTGATTTTGGATATAAAAGATTTAAAATGTAAGAGCGAAATAAATGGATAGTGTTGGGAAAAATAATTATTAAGCAAAAAAAAAAAGACAATGAAATCAAGAAAATGCTAATATTAGATTAATAGATCCTACATAAGATCTCAACTTGGATACTTAAATTTAGGTAAGCAAAACACTAGTTGATTTAATGGAGAAATAGTTTGATATGCACCGAAACAATTTCTTTAATTCTATATTCTGGAAAAAAACTGGTATAAATTATACACAAGTTAAAATCCTCAAAGGCAGTGACCTTGTTTGTTTTCAATCACTACTGTGTATGTATCCTAGCATAACACTAATTAGCACCTAATAAGTCCTCAATAAGGATTTACGTGAGGAAAGAAACTAAAAGAAATTTAAATTATAAGTTAAAAATGTTATTGTAAATTAAAATGCTACAATGCCAAGACTTTCCACCACAGATTGCATCACTTGCAGTTACTTGGACATGCAAAATTACTAGTTTACCAGTAACATTTAAGAAAATATATAGAAAGATAACTGTACGTCCATAATATTGGTATTTTGAAACTGAGTGAAAAACACATTCTGAGCCATCTGTATTACTTAAAGCTGTTAAGCTTAATGGGCTATTGGATTTACAAAACAATGTTTCATTAATTGTATTAATGGTTATAAGATACCTATTAAGATTCCTTTCTTGTCCAAAAATTCAACACATCAAATATGAAAATCTATAATAATATCACAGCCAAAGGCTTACTGTATAGCTTCTAGTTTACTGGCATAATTAACTTATTTTAGTTTAAATAGCCTATTTTTCCAGCCACTAGGACATAAAATTTCTCACATTTTATAATTTTCAAAAATCACTTTCAATTTATTTATTAGTATAACTGGTACTATCATAAGGCAAGTAAATGTAAATAAACAGCAAACTAAATGGTGAATTAAAATATCCACTCGAAGGGCTGGCTGGTTAGCTGATTACAGTGTAATGTTTTAACACCAAGGTCAGAGGTTCAGATCCCCATACTGGTCAGAAGCTAAAAGTAAAATAAAATAAAATAAATAAAATAATAAAATAAAATAAAATAAAATAAAATATTCATACTAAGTCTGACCTCAGCTTTTAGAGAACCTTTCCTTCAGAAGAAAGCTAAAAATAAACTCCTAACATTTGCTTTGTTTGACAGCATAATTAATTGAGTAGTAATCAAAGTAGTCCTTTATATAAGGCCTTCTAGTCTCAGAAACATACACTAAAGGTACAAGATTTCTACCTCTACTAAAACAGGGAATACATGTAGGGCAGGCTTAGAGGAGGTAAATAGGAAGTTCAGTAGTCAATGTGTTGATTTTCAGGTACTTATAAGATATCCATCCTGGTGTGGATAGTAAGCAGTGGATACACTAATTTGGAGCTCAGGAGAAGGTCTGGCATAATGACGAGAAATGTGACACAAATATAATTATTTGTCAATCAATATCTGGTTTCAGGAATAATTTAAGGTAATTTGCAATGATACATAAACTATGACACAGAGGAATAAATTATAACTGGAGCAAACTAAAAAAGAAAAGCAAAGGTAGTGTGATGACCACTAAAAGACTGCTAGTGACATTAGAAAGAACAGTTTGTGGTTATAACATTAAGCATTTAATTAACAAATGAAGATAGATAGAACAGGCAATTCCTCAATGCTTCCTAAGGACATATATAATAATGCATCTCAATCTCTCCCTCAAGAAGTAAGCAGACAGGACAGGCAGGCAGGTAAAAGATTTTAATTTCGTGCTGGTAGTTTTTGGTAATTCAACTGGGATGCTTGAGCTTGGACCTTAAAATATTCCTTAGGGCTGGCCTGTGGCTCACTCGGGAGAGTGTGGTGCTGACAACACCAAGTCAAGGGTTAAGATCCCCTTACTGGTCTTAAA